CTGTAATTGCACCTTGTGAGTGTCACGGTTGCTAAGCCAATATTAGCAAAAGATTATAATTTCTCCATTCCAACGGGTAAAAGAACTATCACTTATTCACCTTATGCGACTGGATCAAGCTTAGGTTGGACAGGAAACAACACGAAGTTCCTGGGTGAACAATAGGGACAAGGAAACTCCCTTTTTTTTGTTGGAGAAAAATTGGTCTGTCACAATTTACAAATGTAGGCCTCTAAAGACCATAAATGTGGTGTAAAATTGCCTGTCAATGTTCAAAAGAGATAGTTGTTACTTATTCAGAAGGGTTCACACGTAGACAGAGGTGCAGCGTCACTTTTGCAAAGCGGTTCATAAATCGTGCTTGCAACAAAATGGCCGCAAAATTAGACTATTCAAGGAGTATTCAACCAATTAAAAAGGGAAAGCGAGGGAATGAGGAATGAACTGTGACAGGGGGACATAAGAAGGTAGAGAGAGAGAGTAAGATAGAGAGAGGTCAAACCAGATAAGAGAGTTTGCAGGAATGATTGATAACCGAAATCAGGCGGATTTGGCTAGAGAAATAGTTGGATATCAGAAATTAAGAAATTCCACTGGAAAAATGAGTTTTCAGGCAAAGAAAGGGCCTGCAAGTTAGGCAAGCCAAATGGTTCAGGAGGCAACTTACTAAAGAGATTTTGTTTGCCTAAATCAACAGCCCGAAAGTTCAACAAGCTCCCAATTCGATGCTCCACGTGAGAGATCTTTAGTAGCTTGCAGTAGAACAAAAACTACTAGATCCGTTGAGAAAACTGATGCCAATATTCGACTTGTGATAGGTACGTTTTACTGGATATTTCTGGGTCGGTTCTAATTTGGAGAATGATGGTTTTAGCTGATGACTTTGACGAGTGGTTCGGGTGCAATTTACTTCGTTATTATAGGATTTCTAAGGTGGTTTCAGAGGGGTTAACAGTGGTTTCGAGAAGGGATGCAGGTGGTTTTGATTGTTGGTTTTATAAGGCAGTTGTGCTTATAGGGGTTTTGGCTTCTGAAAGTGTGGTACAATGGTTAAACGACACAAATCTAATTGTGACGAGCCTAAAAGCAAGGATCTGATACCATGGGGGAAAAGTAAACCTGTTGGATTCTCTGGTTTTTCTAGCACCGAAACTGCAAGACAATGCTCTACGCATAATGACCCTCGCAAACATTTATCTGTCTCAATGCCGGAATCGAAATTCATTTATGGTGAGACCCGCAGGATCCTGGCCATCCTTGAGTTCTCAGCAGGCCATTCATGACATGTAACAACGAGCTGAGATATGGTCTCCATGGCCAAAAGCTTGAATCGTGAGTGCTTTTCCCTTTTCTTAGCCTGCATATACGACGCTGAGTGTGCAAGGATATTAGGCATCATGGTGAGGCTCATGGCATGATGCGAGATCTCATCTTCCAAGAATGGTGTTTTATTTATATGGTGTTTCGAGTTTGAGTTACTCGGACTATGACGGAAGAAGGTTGGTTCATTTAGTTATCTTTCCCTTTTCCTTTTCTCATATGGGAATTTGAGGTCTAATTGGGGCCAAATTCTGGAGCAATGTCGGAGGCTTCCTTTTCCTGAGTCTGCCATAGATGTTTTCTCTAGAGAAATTGTAAGATCATGGCTCGCTTCGCACTCTTCCAAACAGTCAAATATTAGAACTCTAATATGCAAGCAGAGAGTCAAACATGCATAAAAACATATATATCAACATGATATACAATTTATATTTATGAAATGCAGGTAGTGTCTTTATTTAGACTTCCAAATATTTGAATTCTTAGATTTTGTTTGCCAAACAGATTCAAAATCAATAATTTACCGACAAAGTTGTTATTTTATTAAAATGTTCTCACTTAGATACATCCTCAAGAATTTGCTCTTATTATGGGGGGTATTTATCTTTGAACAAATGAAAACACAGTGATTTGAATCATTTATGTCACTTTGAGCCAAAGGATCTAAATACATGTATTGCTCTAGATTCCAAAACTAAAAGAGTTCTTCTCGTTAGAAACATGGGCATTCTGGTAACTTACCTATTTAAGTCATTTGAAGCATAAATCCACCTCTTGTTCTAGGTTCCAAATTCAGAATAAGATTTTCTAATGAAAATATGTTTCAGGTTTGGAATTCAAAACAAACCAAGTTTTGAAGTCTTTGGCTCGATAAAATTAAAGTGGTCAAATTACCTTAATTCCCTTATTTATTAATGTTTCTAATTTCTAAACTTGTAATAGGGGCTATTTAGGTTTTCTCTAACATGATAATTGAATAAGCACCTAGTTGAATTTTTTAAAAAGATTATCCACTTTGTGGGTAAATTATTAATTTTTTTATCTTCTTAGGTGTTTGACCATTTCATCCTATATTTTTTGGGGAAAATCTTAGTAATAATGAAAAATGTAACACCCCAAATGAAATTGTAGCTCTATAAATAAAGAACCATCAAATTGATCATTTTGGCCTCAACAATGAGTAGTATGAAAAAAAGAAGACTTCAAGCCTTGAATATAATTTAGAGAAAATTACATATATATCTATTATACTTTACGTTATTACGATTACATCTAATAGTTTTCGTTATTATTCATCTAACCGTTTTTTATCTTTCATGCCTTTTTAAAAAAAAAACACTTTTACCCTTTTTCGGATGTTCAACATCCGAAAACAGGATTTAAAAAAAAAAACGTTCACTTTTCAATTTTTAGATGTTGAACATCCGAAAAGAGCGGGATAGTGAGTAAACTTCGTCTGCCCTATTTTCTGCGTTTTTTTCATTCTTTCATAGTGCATCTGCATTTTTCTCATTCTTTGAGAGTGTGATTGATATTGTCTACCTTATTGGTAAAGAATAGCAGTTAGTTTTTTTATTTTGATTTTCAATAGTGTTCGTCTTTGGCAGGCGACATTTTTTGGATTTTGAAGCAATTTCACATTGTGAAGGTATGTGGGTCGATTTTTTATTTAGATTGCCACTTGAATTTTGGTTAGGGTTTATACTCAAGCATACTAATTATTTGTTGTGATTTTGGTATATATTGAATTAATTTGTGTCTCCATTGTGATTGAATTAGATATTTATAATTTGGGGGTTTTGAGAACTTAGAATTTTGTGGTCTCTGTATAGCTACAAATTACTTAAATTTGAGGGTTTATACTCTTAGATAGTCTTACGACAGATTTGTGTTACATTTATTGATATTTTAGTAAATTGTTGATTTTTGTAGTTGATAGATTGAGTAGCTTAAAAATTAAAATATGTATGTGATTTATGATTCAAGAACATATTTACTTTGAATATTTTGCAAAGTATTTAATCAATGAATTTATTTGAATTATGATTTATGATACAAGTAACAATGACTACATTTATTTGAATATTTTGGATTTAATCTGTTGCTTGTATTATAAGTAGCATTGTTCTCTGTTATTTGTTTGAAATGGTTGCTTTACATAAAATTGAATTTTTTCTTTTTTGATGGAGCCGTTCGTCTATCTATAATTGATTTCTTCAGTTTTTGATTGAACTGCGTGGTTTTTAATAGATTGGTTACTGTGCTAACATACGAAGGCATGACTACCTTCATATAGAACAGAAGGCAAGAATGTTAAGCGTTAACCACCTTACTTATATAAAATGCTAGCATGATACATTTCAGTTCTTCTCAAAAAAGGATGATAACACTTAGGTAACATGACTTGGCACAAGTCAACCTTGGGCTCTTCAGTGGCGTGTTGGCTTGCTCTACCAGGTGTTCAATTTGAATTTTTTAAGACAATTACTCTCTTCCTTATCTCTACTCCTATTATTACTAAACTTGCATTCCATATACTATGTTTTAATCTTGATACTTTTAAAACCTTTGGATTCTAGAACATCCTACCAAAGTTCTAACTTTCTGTTGATATCGTTTTGCGTCTCATTGGTAAAAATTATGTCGTTTGTGAACAACATGCACCACAGTACCTCATCCTACAGGTGCCTAGTTAAGTTATCCATAACTAAGACAAAGACGTACAGTCTCAATGCTAACCCTTGATGTAGACTTATTGTCACTTAAAACTCACTCGTCTCTCCACGAGTTTTTCGCCACACTAGTTAACGCTCATCGTACATGTCTCTCACCAAGTCGATGTAGTTTCTGGAGACTCTTTTCTTTTCCAACACCCTCCAAATCAAATCTCGAGGTACTCTTATCATAAGATTTTTCTAGGTCAATAAAAACCACGTGGAGGCCTTTTCCCTTCGACCTAAACTTCTTAATCAGTTGCCTAAGTAGGAAAATAGCCTCGGTTGTTGACCTTTGCATAAAACAAAATTGGTTTTCAGATACACTCGCTTCATACTTTAGTCATTGCTCAATCACTCTCTCCCAAAGCTTCATAATATGGCTTATAAGCTTACCCTTGATAGTTCGCACAATTCTGCATGTCTCATTTGTTCTTATAAATAAGTAATATAATACTTTTTCTTCATTCGTCAGACATTTTATGTGTTCTCAGTACCTTGTTGAACAACTTCGTCAGTTAGTCAATGCCAATCTCCCCCATGTACTTCCAAACCTCTATCGGGATACCATGTAGTCCTAAAGTAGTAAAGCCTTTTTAGTCTTCATTCTTTTCAAAGCTTCTTTCACTTCTAACATCATAATCATACTAATTTATCTATGACCTCCAGCCTCATTTATACAACAGTTCCATCTATTGCTATGTTCGTCATTGAATATTTTTTTAAAATAAACTCTCCACCTTTTGCTGACCTCGTCATCATCCAACAAGAAATTCTTTGTTTTTTATGGGATGATTTAGCTACTTATGAAAGTTGGATTCTTATCTTTACAATGAAATGATTTGTTGCTTATCAACGTCGAATTTCGTTGAAATAATTTGTTACCCATTAAAGTTGAATTCTTTAGTTTTTGGTTGAGGATGGTTACTTGGAAGGGGACTATTGTGTTTTTTTTTGTTTATCCATCTAGGGTTTGGTTATTGTTTAGCTAAGGTCCATTGAATTGGACTTAGTATAGTATTTCACGTGGTTTTGAAATTGTTGCTGATAAAAGAAGTAGATGAGGATTGTGCATATCTGGTTAATTAAGGGGTCTGTACAGTAGTTCTTCAAGTAGAGATATTAAATTGGACTTAAGAGCTGGATATGAGACTGTTTTTTTGTTGTAGCTAATTATGAAAGTTGTTTAGTGGTTTTTGAATAACTCTTTGAATTCCTTTTAGTTGTCTATTTGACTCAATGAATCAATTCTTTATTTGGCCACCATATTCACTGATTGATTTCAATTTTCAAGTATACGATTCTTAGTTGGACTAGCATAGCAATTTCATTTTAGCATTGTTCTTCTTTCATCAAAGGATTGTAGCAATGTTCTTCTTCATCAATAGTATGCCATTATTTATTTTTTTGTTATCCAACTAATTTCTACATGTGTAGCATTATGATTAATTTGGTGACCATATGGGATTTCAATAAATATGGATTATTTACATCATGGAGGATATCCAGGAGGTCCTCAGGACCCTAGTTTATTTCAACTTCATCCAGAACATTGTTCATAATTCATATGGGAATAACAGGTAAATGCATATATTCATCTACCCATTCTATTTATTTGTTAATTTTCAATAAATGGTAGTCTGATTCAAACTTCTGTGGAAAGTACATGTATATATATTGATTCTAATATGTTGTCTATTTGTTCTATTTCAAGAGAAAGAAGAAATTAAAATTGATGAGAAGAGTTATCAATTAAATGAATAGAAATTAACAAGAGAACAAGTTCAGTTAGTTCATGCTTCTGGGTTGGGTCCGTTGGCTATCATTCGGTCAGGTTGAATTGATCATCCTTTAGTCGCAGCTAATATAGAGAGGTGGCATTCTGAAACCAACACCTTTCATTTCAACATTCATATTGGTGCGATGACACCAACAATTTTGATGTATACGAGATATTAGGACTAGTTGTGGATGGTGATCCAATCACATGTCGTCCTATCAAGGACCAGCGAAAGTTTATAGAAGATAATTTGGGTATAGTCCCTGATGGCAACTTGGCAAGCTTGAGGCATACATGGCTGAAGGTGAATTTTAAGGAATTGTCACTTGATGCAACCCCAGTTCAAGTTTATAGATATACTCAAGCATATATGCTCTTCCTCATTAGTATAACCATATTCGCTGATGCATCAGTTTCAACAGTGTCAATAAGGTACATGCAGTTTTTTGAAGATATTGAGGGTGCCAGCATATATGCTTGGGGTGCTGCAGCCCTTGCATTCCTCTATCGCTCACTTGAAAAAGTTTGCACTTTCAAGCGAAGACATTTTAGTGGTTTAACCACTCTCATGCAGGTAACCATTTGTTTTGGAATATGACATAAGCGTAATAGTTTAGACTGCTTTCTTAATATATTAAATATTTATCATACTCAATTTATTATAGTGCTGGTCATATGAGTATATTATGCATATGAAACCATACCGCATAGTATCCCTCCAAATATTCCTAGGGCCAAAAGATGGGAGCCACCGAAGAAATATCATAGCAATCCACATAACTTAATGCTTCCCATCAGACAAGAAATTGATAACCTCCAACCTAATGACGTTAGTGTATAATTTGATATTGATTTCTTTCAATAGTATTTAAGTATTTGTAATTATTTTTATTGCCTGAATGCATATCATATAACAAGTAATCTGAAATCTCTATTTCAACCCTGATGAGGTTATTTCAGATAATTGACAGCAGGCATTTCAAACTACAATGTGCCCTACAACTTTGATATTTGACGATATTGCCGAGTTATACATGCCAGACCGAGTATGCCGACAATTTGGAGCAAAACAGGTCATTCCTAGGAATCCCTTAGTTGTTAATAAGAGGGCAAGCAGACAAGTTGGATAGCGAGATTAGTGAAACGTCAATGCAGATAAAATCGCTAACTGGTTGTCTCGCCATGACCGTATCATGCATGATATTCAACAAGATACTGATAATGGGTTGCCCTCATAAGAGTACAAGGCCTGGTACAACTTGGTGTCTCATCTTTTGATACATAATGTCGCTAACCCACCCAAAGACATATTGCAACCTCATATCTATAAAGAAGAAGAAGTGGTTCCTGCTCATGAACCACAATATATAATGAGACCCGAGGTTATGAGGACCAGTTTGTACGTTTATATTGACCTATAAATTCTTATAGTATGTTTATTTACCTATTAGTTCTATTCAATTGTTTAAATATGCTAATTATGTAATCTTGTTGTGCAGGTTAGTGCAGTTAAGGCATCTACAATCATGTTAGCAAAGGCACTTACACTCTGACATGAGTGGTAGCCTGAAGTTCTTAATCGCGTTAACAACACGTTAGAAATGTTGTCTAAATTTGTGCCTATGGATATGGGTGACGTAGAAAGCTAGGATGGAGCATTTACAACGTCAATATAATAACAAAGTTGTACCTGACGAGGCCGAAGATGGAGTGGGTCAAAGTAGTCTGGCTGTAGAAGACCTAGCTCCCTCTGCACAACCTGCAGTTGAGGAACGCATAAAATATAACACACAAAATAAACAGTATCAGCCTAAGAGAAGGTGAGGCGTGTAATGGGTCATTTTGAGGGTCATATAGAGCTAGCATATTTTTTATGAAAAGTTGTATTTGTATTATTACTGTTCACTAAATATATTGCAGAAGCTTCAGTATCACTCTTGGTATCAATGTGTACTGTTGTGCTTATGGGTCATCTTGAGAAGACTTGGAGTCTTGGTGAAATTTGATCGTTAGTGGTTGCATATGTGTATTGGGTTTAGCATCATATCACTGCCTAGAGCTATCCATTATACATTCGATATAAGATTAATGGGATTTATTAATTTAACATTATTTACATTACTTCTTGTGATTGATGGTAGTGAAAATAACAGCTACTGTGCATCCAAAATCATAAAATTAGCAATGGAAACAATTGTGATCGCTTTAAAATAAGAAAATAAAATTCATATTCATACATCTATAAATGACTTATTCTCATGTCCATGCATCCAGAAATGATGTCAATTTTTTTATCATGTCAATGCATCTTGATGTCCATGATCAATGTGATGTCTAAAGAATTTCAGATGTTCACTGTGAATATCCAAGAAGCTCCTGGATATTCACAGTGAGTTTTCGGATGTTCAACATTTGAAAATATCGTATTTTTTGATGTTCAAGATCCGAAAACTCACTGTGAGAATCCAAGAAGTAAGTTTTCGGATATTCAACATTCGAAAATATTACTTTTTCGGATGTT